GTTTGAAAATATCCATAAAATTTTACGTTTTTGCAATTCTTAATGTCAATATTAATTTAGATAGAATAGAAGATTAAATACCATCGTAAATTTACACAAAATTGTAAATTTTATTCCTACGGACATATTTAATGCAATATCAAGAAACGAGAATACATCAAGATATAAAATTAATTATACGAATAATGCTTGAGTTTTGTTAGGAATTAAAATTATTGAAGAATCAGATATATATATGTATATTTACTTTTACGTATATATAATAGGTTTTAAGAAATTAACAGACTGACTTTTTCAAAACTCGTATTTATGTATATATCAATTTTCACAGATGTCACATTCAAAATCGTAAATTAAAATGTAATATAAAGCTCGTTGCTTCCATATCTGAAAAATGTTATCTTGCCATTAGAAAGAATGATGCATTCCATTTGTTACCAATTTACGATTAAAATTTTTTCCGACAATTTTTCCGATTTTTATCGCAAAGCAGGAAGGACTTTTTGTCATTCATGAAATAATCACTTTAATTATATTTCTAAACAATATTATAGCAGAGTACATTATTGGTAATTAAATAATAATAAGTTAAAATTATTTTAACTGTCATTCATATGTCATTAGCAATTTAAATTCTGGATGATATATGCGTTAAACAATGAAAGTATGTTTATTTATCGTTGCAAAGCTATTATAAAGACTGGATACTACTCACACAACATAGGTCTCCAAGGGGCGTTCTAGGGAATGATCCACTTAACGCTGCAAATACTTCGTTGACCAATCAGAAGATAGAATTTTACGAATTGACCAATCAAAGAATGTTTCAAAGCATTTGTAGCGTGAAGTGGATCGTATCCCTAAAGATATTCCAAAGAACGCCATTACGTCCTAAAGATGTTCTTGTAGGACGTCCCTCGGATAAAATGTACTGTGTCATATACAGAATATTATTCGGTATCGTATAAGTTGAAATTTAATTGCTTTTTCTTTTTGAATACTACAACAATCGCACATCGTGACCAAATCTAGAAAATAAAACGCGATAAAAAATCGAAAAAGAAAGAAATGTAGTTCACTGGGCATCATCATCTAAATGTATCTGTGATTGCTTATAAACGTCCTAGTTTCTTCGTCGCTGTGGTGTCACTAACAGATTCTTACATTAGGAGACATATATTATGCATATCCGGAAAATTGACCGCAATACTTCGAGAAATGATTTGGGACTCAAAAAGAAGAAAAAAAAGCTATATAAACATAGGTCCGGAAATAAGTCGTTTCCGAGTTATAATCATTTTTATGTTAAAAAAAATTGTAATTTATTTTTTATAATTATAATCATAATCTCTATTTCAGTATTTTAATATAAATAACTACATTTCGACTATTTTGGCATTACCCAGGATGCACCACGTAGAAGCATAGTCCGCTTGGCATCACTCTTTTTTATTTTTTAGTTTTAATTTGTTTTTACTTTACTAGAGGGATGTCAAGCGGACTATGCTTCCATGTGGTGCATTCTGGATAACGCCAAAATAGTACGAAATGTAGTTATTTATGTTAAAACACTAATGAAATAAATTATGATTGTGATTATATAAAATTAATTACAATTTTTTAAATATAAAAGTGGTTATAACTCGGAAATGACTTATTTCCGGACTTATATTTAAATAGCTTTTTTTTCCTTTTTGCGTCCCGAATCACTTCCCAAAATATTACGGGCGATTTTCTGGACA